GATGTATTTTTGCGTTGGGGAGATATTAATAATATATATAACGGTTTTGCCCGTACCCAAAGTTGGGTACGGGCAAAACCGTTATATATATAATTAACATCTCCCCAACGCAAAAATACATCTTGCAAAACATTGATTTTGATCCGCAAACTTGATAAAAATAGAAAAATTAGAAAAACAATAGAAAAAAACTCCAGTTTATCAGAACATACTTGACATGTTGATGAGAAAATTTGGCTTCAACAAATATTTTGTCACTCAGCATGTATTTCGTGATTAATAGCCAAAACAGCTATCAATTTAAAGAGTCAAGAACACAAACCTCCACTGGCAGTGGACGTTTCCATGGAGACACAAGTAATATCTAGCTCCTCGGTTCCTGGAGGGCAGACACATGAGTAATTCTCATCCTCGGGTACACAGAGATACGTGGGCATGCAGGGACTGCCAACGCAGGGATGCTCAACAAAACGTTGGATGTTAGCTTGCTGCAGAGATGCCTCAATCAAATCTGGTATCTCCTCACGGTCAATGGACAACTACAATTAGGAAACGCAAAGACAGATGAGTCCTGTGAAGCTATAAAGGTAATTTTTGATAACCAAAATGCCAGCTATAAATACCATCAGGGCAATATGGTTAAATTAACCCCTTCTTGATGGGAATTTCTTTCCGAAAGTCGACTCCAAGAATTCCAGCCTCGCTTGGCCATGAAGGCCACCTGCTAAACCGCAAATTCTCGGTTTGTGGCCCAGTGTGCTCTGCACGCTTTGAATTACACGGTGAAAAGGCTGATTGTTCGGTCGCATGCGGCTCTACTCAAGCTTCCACATTCCCATTGCCTCTTTTCAAAGTGGGGACTATTGTGAAGCTGGTGATTATGATGCAAATTCGGTCTTGCCATTTCTGGGCTACACACAAAGACCAATTACCATATACACAAGAGCCAGGGTCTGCCTTCTTTCAATGTGTTCGCTCGAGCGTGGGCCAAGAATAATAGCTGAAAAGAGGGCTGAGTATCTCAATTTTCACGGCGTGTCTTAACATGTCCCGCCGTGAAGGGGTTAAAAGAAGACTGTCTGACGTACCATTTTAATTCCACCAACAAAGCCATCGGTAATCCCTGCCTTCCGTGAGAATTTGGAGTAGTTGTCTGTCCCCCCAATGAACAGGCTCTGCTTGAGGTTCAGCTGCTTTGCTAAGCCCTAAGGAATGGAATCAAAAGATGAAAAAAATTAAATTACATGCATCTCTTCGAGTCTATGTGTTAATTCATCAATTTGCTGGAAAAAGCACAAAGATTGTGAAAAACTGTGATTATCACACTATAAAAACTGTACTTAATAGAGTACACCATTTCTCATAACAGAATATTTCATTATTTGTGGAACATTGAAAACTTACTGAGGATTCTCCCTGAGCAACCATCTGGTTATCAATGTACATCATGCCATCCATGTTCATCCTGGTTACCTCCACACGATGCCACTCATTCAGGGTCAGACGCTCTGGACTCCTGACAAAGTAAAGCGCCAATCATAAATCATCAACATCATCATGTGACTCAATGAGAAACAACTCATACATGAATCCTGCTAACCAACATGGAACGTACTCATGGTCTAAGAAAATTTGGCACATGATGTGAAAAACAAATTTAAAAAATTACATGCACTAGTTTTGCGGTAACCTTGTATCATAAATTTTCTTGGAACAAAATGAAACCAAACATATAATATAGAGCGTCCATTAACAGGTATGCAACTTGGACTTTGACAAAAAAGAACGAAATTCTAATCTTTACGAGAAAGTTGAAGACTTTGTAAAATGTTGTTCAATTATCAATCGCATGAGTGTGAAGTGAGAAATGATGAAATCAGCTGATCCAAGGTTGCATGCCTGCATTTGGCCTTCACCTCCATTTACAAGCCAAAAGCAACCCCTGGAGAGCTGATGATGACAGGAGATTTGATTTCGATGTGAGAGGATAACTCACTGAATCCAGGAAAGACTGAAAAGTCCAAACCCACAGGATTCATAGCCTGGGTAGGATTTACAACAGAATCACAGGTCTAGAAGGTGGCACTTATGGGCCACCTTCATTCTTGGAAGAAATTTAAGTCCTTGCTAGTTAATCCTCCTTCAATGCCACCTCCAAAACAGTTTCTGTTTGACGTTGCTGACAGCTCAAATATTAAGTTTTGCCACATTACATTAAATACACCACTAAGCACCTTTCTGCCCATCAATACACACAGCTTGTACATGCATATCATTCCCTGGGAGGTCAAAGGTTGGAGGTCATGGATCAATGGGACAAAAGAAATCAGACCATATGACAGCAAATAAAAAAAAGGCAATTAGGATTCCAAATGCAGATTTGAAAAGAATTCTTTTCACATAAAAAGTCATGTGCATCTACCTTTTCAAAACAATTACAGCTTCAGAAATGTGTCGATACATGTAATTTTATATCAAACAAAAGCCTTTTTTACATAAAAAGCCCACAGGTTCATAACCTGTCCATGAAAACCAATTTGTGGGTAGACAGAGCTGGTTTTCAAGTTCAAATAATGCAGGTATACATTGTTTATCTGGTGCTTTATCAAGAACAGTTTTTATTACACAACAGAAATCAACACAAATGCTGGTACCAGGAACTTACAGATTTCGTTATAGAAAAAAACACGGGGAATTGACTACCAAAATAGAAGCGCTGCCAATGAAAACTGATAGTTGAGAGTCTGATTTCTGAACGAGTCCAAGTCTCAGTATTAGGTCAAGTCAACAGCAATTTAAATAAACTGGAATCAGGAATTTCCTTTGTCACTGTCAAACAACAAATTCCAAGCCATGATTGTGGTAATTTTGTTTACACCCCTGCCAAAGGTAAAATCTGATTCAAGGCATTCTGGTGAAAAAGGAAATGTTGACTGTTGATTAGAAGTTCCTAATCTTTTGTCCTCAAGCAACAATGTAAAAGTTCATGTCTGGTGATTAGTTCACAGACTTATGGCATTTGTTGACAGTCATAATTTTTCCTTTTGTAAATTAGGCTCTTTTCAATCTGTAAGAAATTCAAAGATAAACTCTCTGTTTTTTTGCGAATGTTTTTTATCCTAGCAATATGGCCCGTTGACATCATTTTGATATCAGTCTCCTGTGCAATACGTGTTATTTTCGGACCCTGAAATGTGTGAGGTAAAGCAAACAAACTTGAAATGAGATTTGGAGATAAGTTTTGAGACTGTTTAGATAACATACTAATTCGTTACAAGAAAAACAGGAATATGCACACCAGAGCACAGCACAGGGCATCAAGCATGCATTGCAATACTTAATACTTGTACCTTATTACATGAAGATGACTGTCTGCTATTGGACTACCAGTAAATGGAAAGAAAACTTGAAACCATAAAATTCTCACAGAAACAACTTCATAGTCTCTGAACTGTGTCACTAATTTAGGAATAGATGGGGGAGGGGAAATCCCTGGTCATTGCTTTACCCTACAATACACACAGGTTTTTCAGAGGCCCATTATAAAGCACAGACCCTGTAGGGGTCTAACTTGCATGTACGGTTAGGGACAGACAGAACATAGAGATCAAATGGCTCCACTGACGGTGACAACTACATGAAGTATACCCCCCTCCCTGAACAAAAATTTCCCGAACCCCCCCAGCAAAAAATCCAGGACCCATAACGACCCTGAGAGCATGAGGAAAGAAAATGCTGGTAGCCTCAAATAACAAGTGAATGGATCAGTGATTTTTACAGGCATGGGAAGGTCTGCTGACACCTGCTAGAGCCTGAATACGTGTATGAATCCTGGTTGCAAGTTTCCATTGGGGATTTAATGGTACAGGTTACCAGGTACCAGGGAAACCAAGCTTTTGCATGACAATGAGATCAAGGTTGACTGGTTTTCTTCCAGTCCGTCACACTCTGGACAGGTCAAACCAATCCTACTCCACAGTTTGTATGCAAAACTATGAATCACTTTGACAATCTTTGTCTAAAGCCAAATGTGCCTTTTGAAAGCAACAGATTCCAAGTAAATTGCCAAGATGGAACTTCTTGCCGAGCGTCAATTGTTTTTCAAACAACTCAAGCCATTAGGAAGCCAGCAGAGTGTAGGAGAATGTGAAGTTAAAACAAATACAAATGGTTATAATGAAAGGTTTACATTTACTGAAACTTTTAGACAGAAGAAATTAGCTGATATCAATGAAATTGAGCCAATGAATCCTGGCCTGACATGTTTGCATGATGAAAAAGTGCATACATATGACTGGGCAGGAGGAATAAAAATCTGTACCTGATTTCAGCTGTTCCAGAACCAAGATTGTATCTGAATTCCAAATATCCATCCACTAAATTGAGAGAGATGAAATCACCGTTGCCATTGGTACTCTGCCCATTGTAGAAAATCATGCCATTGGGTTGGGTCGCCAGGAACTCCACCTCTACTGTGATGTGACTAGGCGCCTTCAGACCGGGTAGCTCAAGGTAGGAGTTGCCCCCAAAGCCCGGTATGAAAGGTCCAACAGGTTCTGGCTCATCCTCTGAAACATATTTTTAAAATCAATGACACAATCTGTCAAACGTGAGTGTTTAATGAGAGCAATTTTTCATACAGAATGCCACAAGAGGTTAATAAAGGAGCCATTTTTTGCAAAAGTGATTTTCACTCGAACTGCTAGTGCTTCCTGCAAAGATAATTCAAAACTTCACAAGTTTACGCCGGTGAGCGGTAAACCTACAACATCCTTCTTATTAGTGCAGAAGTCTTAATGATCTTGCTGATTTGAATCTAGTAAACTAACTGATAGTACTATCAGAGATTTTATCAACCTGACAAATAAGACTGATACCAACTTTGACTGATATACTTTTTATATGTTTGGATTCCTACCCATGTCACACATGTCGCCAAGCCAACCCATAGGACAGTCACATCTGTAGCCCCCTTCGGGTAGAGGCATGCAAGTTGAGCCAGTGTAACACATGTTCCCCTCGCATGGATCCACAAAGACATCACCACACAGCGGGCCTAACAGAAAACAACATAATATCCAGAAATTACAAAACATACAAATACGACTTTCTGCACAGCCTTTGAACAGCATGCACTGCAGTTCATCATGAAGCAAGTTGATCTGATTTGTGGGACACTGTGACTTTGAATTTGTCATGTTGTCTGAAATTATGTTTTGGAAATTATAATTCTTACTAGTCTTGAAATAGGGGCACAGTAGAACAGCTACGAAGTGGATTTACTTAAGTTGACCTTCCATTTTTGCTTGTTGAAGAAATTTGGCACTGACTTGAAGCCAACATGGCTACTGTTTCCCCAATCAGATATGCTGTGATGTCTCCTTTAGCAAAATGCAAGCTAATGGTAATCCATTTCAAGTTTGTGACATACCGACAAAACCACCCTCGCATTCACATTCAAACTGCTCGGCATTCATTGGGGTGCAGGTCGCATTGTTCAGGCATGGCTTGGCCAGGCATGGGTCATTGCCACACTCGCCAATGTTAGCTCCATAGAGGATATCTCCACCAGGATGGTAAACGTCCAGGGGTTTATGGTTGACTTCCAAGTATCCAATACATCCCATGAATCCCTTGGTGGTCCCTGCGACTTTGTAAATTCTGCAAACATGTTCATACAGTGTCATTCAAATGAGATACAAATTGCAGTTGTTTCAGAAGACAGGAGAAAATATTTCGAATATACATCTACCAACAAAACACTGAAAAGAATGAACATCAGGGACTGGGAGTAAGTCTCAAATAAAAATAACAAATGAACATTTTATTGACGTATCTTTACTATGATTCCACTTCTGAATTTGCTTTTTTACTGCCCATATTAAATAAGAGCATTAGGGCTGGATGCCATTGTAAACTTTTGATATCTGAAAAATTGGAACCTCTAATGAGCACACCAGAGTTAGAAACAAGTTACTTTTTTAAGTCCAAGTCAAGTCACAAGTAAATTTTTGCAGGTCTAAGCCAAGTCCCAAGTCATTTGGTCCAGTTACATGTCAAGTCACAAGTCATTTCGTCACAGGTCAAGTAAAGTCAAAAGTCATTTTGTCACAGGTCAAGTCAAGTCACAAGTCAATTTGGTCCAGTAACATGTCAAGTCACAAGACATTTGATCACAGATTAGGTAAAGTCAAGTCACAAGTTGGTAACAAGTCAACATCACATGTCACTTTCTGAAAGTCGCAGGGTAAAAAAATGACAGGTTACAAGTCAAGTCACGAGTTACAAAATAGCAACTCCAGTCCACGTCCAGTGACTCAAGTCTACAACTCTGGAGCTTAGGCCCCACAGAACAATACGTACAACTCTTTATCCTCTGGCACGTCACCAATGAAGAGGTCATTGGTCAAGGACAAACCAGATGATCTATCACTGCTTGACCCCATGACTGGTGTCTCGCCATCCACGCTGAGTGTGCCATCACGCTTATCCCTGGTAGCCCGTATCGTGTACCAATGAAGTGGCTGAATTGGGACGGTGCTTCTGATTACGACAGTATCACTGGACCCGAGGTCAAACCTCAAAAGGTAGAGAAAAAAGAGGGTGTGGGGTTAAAACAGTGGTATACACGGCAGTGATTGTGAACATTTCAAGATACTTGAAGCTTTACAACTGTACTTGATTAGTTTTAAAATGCTTAATACACAAAATCAGAAAAGGCAAGTTGTTTTTCAAAGAGAATGGGGAAAGAAGGACTCATGCAGATCAGTTTGCTCAAATTGAATCTACAGAATTTCATCTCGGGTTTTTGTGCAAGTTGCCAACTCGGAAAACTGGCATCAACTTATCTTTACAGAATTTCCAATTATTTTCTTCAATTAAACAAGATGATGTGTTGTCCCTGTTGGAATTCAATCAAAGGATTTCTAAATATAGGGATTTGTCGAAGATGGAGGTTATATATGCAAACAACATGCAACATGTCACAAGACTACGTGTGTATAACATGTACATATTACTATACAAAGGGACATTTGGAAATATTGGTGAGAAAAGAAAGTTTAGAACAATATTTGCATAAATTAGTAGCATTGTATAAATTACTTAGCAAATAATGTTTGCTCAATTGTTCAATTTTAAAGTGACATTAGAAGAATCTCCAAATACAGATGAGTGGAAATGAAAAGTGAACAAATAAACATCTTTAATTTCAAAACTTTAAAAAAAAAACGTGTTGTGGTCCAGTCTATTACAAATCCCGAAGAGGCCAGAGATGGCCCAAGACAGGACACAAGTTTCTTAGCAACTGAGGCGCCTTTGGTCAGAACTACACTTTGCTGGTTCATGAACAACTACGAAATGCAGGCGTGACGGTCACGTCGCTACCAGCAAAATGAACACTTATAATCCGACTAACATGGCTCTTTTGAGGGGGTGCTTCTGCTCAAGGCTATCACAAGTTATATTCAGTCATGAAGCCAACTCACAAGCTATTCAATTGAACTGTGACAAAAACATTCCTTTGTCACTGTTCATCTCATTGTTCACCCCATTACTTATGACTGGTCCTATGACTGGTCCTATGACTGGTCCTATGACTGGTCCTATGACTGGTCCTATGACTGGTCCTATGACTGGTCCTATGACTGGTCCTATGACTGGTCCTATGACTGGTCCTATGACTGGTCTTATGATAGACTCTGATACAACACTGTTAAAAAGTTGCAAACGTTCACTGATATGGACAATGCCCGCATGACTGATGGGACCATCTTTACCCCAACCATAGGAGACAAAATATTCAGGGAGTACCCATGTCTACTGCCCATCAAGAACAAAACAGAATTTTATGTAGAATGCAGACGAACTGTGTCCTCTACACACATAAGCGATATGCAAAATAATACTCTCCAAGCAAACATTGATATGGGATTGACCAATTGGCTTTGACGATTCCAGTTTGTGCCGATACTATAGCAAGATTGAAATATATGAGGCTGGATTTCATGGCTAGATTTTGCCAACCAATGTTTCGGCCCCCAGCATGAATTTATTTCATGCTACATGCCAACCAGCATCAGACTGCTGTGCATCCTTGTTGGCCCTGGTGAATAGGCCATGCAAACAGCGCCATCTATAGCTGAAGCACTACATAATAGAACTTTTTCCTGACCTGCCGTGTCACATGGCTTTGAAAGCACACAACTTTTGTGACAAGCAAAGCTTGGATGAGTTTTGTTACATCTGGCACTGGAACGTCCAAACCTTTTTTTCATTCTGGGCTCTGGTAAGAATTCAAAAAATTCAAAAGAAAAAAGACAACAGCCATTTCACCCAGCAAAAAATATAAAAAAATGTTACCAGAATTCCACAATTCACAGCATGCTGCTTGCAACTACCTGAAAAGACAGTTTTACCTTACAGCAGTTAGCTGGATCTACTGATGTTAGTTGAACATATTAGTCAGCTGTCTTAGCAGTAGGTGAAGAGCACCATGCACCACCAGGGAGGAGAAGGCAGAGGAGGCGGTGGGAAAAATAACAACAAACCTGATACTCACTCTTGTGCAACATTGTACCTTAGCTCGACAGACCCACTGACAATGGCCAGAGAAACAAAATCTTTGTTCTCAACATCATCTTGACCATTGAACAGGAGCAGGCCCTCAACATCCGCCTCAGCCTGGAACTCCAAGACGATGTCAAAATCAAAGAAGGCTCGCATTTTGGGGAAGGCTAGGTAGGAGTGCTCGGAGAGGGATGGAGACTGGAACGTTACAACTGAAAAATATACAAGAGAATATATCACTCACTCTTCCATGACACACGGTATTAAAGCAAACCTAGAGACATACTTTTTACTTCTATTTTGTTGAACAACACTTCTACAACCGTTCTACAATTACAAGTCCTTTCCACATGTTTTGTCTTCCCCTACTCCCTAAGAATTTTTCTAATGGAAATTTCACTAATGCAGTCTTTAAAAGTATAGAAATTCCTCCAACCTTCTTCGCAGACTGGCCCGCCCCTGCCAACAGGACAGATGCAGATGTAACCTTGAGTGGCTGATTCCTTCTCCAAGCAGGTGCCTCCATGAAGACAAGGGTTGGTCTCACATATGGATAAGGGTGTCGGCTCCGTTGCTATGAAACAAGAGATAAGAAAATGAATTGATATTACAAAATAACTGACCTTCATTGTGGTCAAACTTAAGTTAAACATTTTAAACACAAAAAATGAAAATCTGACTTAAAGCTGATTTATGCTAAGTTTATTTTCCATATTCAATCAAAAATCAATTTATCAATCCGGTCTATTTCAATAAGTGAGCAAACCAGAAACTGTAATGTACCACTGGGCATTCAAAGTTTACCTCCTGATTCCACTTTCTTCAATTTTTCCCCAAACTTTCGAAAAGAACTTAATAATTAGGTTTGTCTTGAAATACATGTATGCATGCTTGAAAATAACAGTGAGTTTGTCTTAAACTTACTTTGCCTTGGCTGTGTGGTGAACTCTGGTAAGCTCTCTGAAGTGCTACTAGGCATGACTGTGGTTGGGTCAGTTGGACTGGCATGGAACTGGGTCGTTAGGCCCTGTGTCTGAGGCTGTGGCATTGGTTTGGTCTCATCGGGGGTTGTAGCATCTATCACGGGCAGAGAAGACATCTTGCTAGAGGGTGGCAAGGATGGGGTAGATGTAAGAGGAACCGTTTTGGAAAAACTCTCAGAGGATGGAAGACTTGTGTGGGATATGGGCATGGACGTCTGGGAGAAGGACGAGAGAGTTTCTGAGGCATCTGTGCTTGGTTTGGAGACTGGCATCGTCCTAGTTACAGGCTTGCTTGTTTCAGAGACAGATGTGATGGACTTTGATGAGGATGCAGATGTTTGCGCTTCTGATGAGCTGGTTTCTGAAGACGCTTCACTTGTCTTAGACAGAGATACACTAGCTCTGCTTGAGTCCGTGGAAGAGCTTATTTGAACAGTGCTACGTTCACGAAAAGCTGGTTCTGTCATGATTGGCTGAGTAGAGGTTTCTAAGGGTGGAGACGGGAGAGTTGTGGCATCCAACTGGGGAAGGGTGGAACTTCTTGACTTCAAGGGAGGTGAGGAGAGGGTTGTTATCTCTGGAGGGGGTGCTGAAACGGAGGATACCTCCACGGGAGGTAGGGGAAGCGTAGTTACTGCGACAGGTGATTCTGTTGAGATTCTCGTTCCATCACTAGGTTCAGGCTTCATGGTTGCTGATGACGATGGTCGCATGGTGGGTGTCATAGAAGCAGCTGTGAAGACAACAAGTATCGGCAAATTTGATTACCATGGCTACGGTTACCATGACAGCAATTGGAAATGGGTAGCTTCCAATTGTCTCAATTTCTGGCAACATTTCTATCAGTGTGGCTAAACTCTGAACCAATTTTGGACTTACTTGTCATGCCAGGCAACAGGGGACAGCCTGCACCTTCTGGATTCTTCTTGGGTGTTTCTCCGTCGTCACAGCAACCAAACTCCGAATCCACACATTCTTGGGATATTGTCATGGGTGTGATGACAACAGCTGGAATGGGGAAAAACAAAGACACTTCAGTCTCTCTCTTTCTTGAAGGATCTCGTAAGTTCGAGCATTTCTTGCACCAATTAGGAACAGTACAACACACTCCAAATGTGGTTTGAACTTCACATGGGGATCCCATCACATCCAGGAGGAACAACTGGAACATGAAAGTGTGATCATAAACAGATCTTGTCTTTCAAATCATCTTTTTTATCCTGACAACAGAAGCTTTCTGCAAAAGTGGTACTCACAGTTGCAGATGCCTCTGGCATAGAGCTGAACGTCTCGCTGCAGCCGACAAGCAAACACTTTCAACTGGCATTCATTGCCGTAAGTTTGGCCATCGGAACCACAGACAGGCTCAAACACCGTGGTGCAATTGCTGGGACAAACACAGGTGGCTAGGCCAGCTGTGAATTGGCAGGTGGCATGGTAACGACAGTTCAGCTGCTCACAGAGGTTGGAGGAGTCATCCATGTTTACGACTACAGAAAATAAGAATACACCAAAGTTAAATGGAGTAATAGTGAACTTTTTAAGAGGGCCTGTCAACTAAACATTCCAATCAATTTATTTTGTTACATAATATCAAAATTGAAGTCTCCATGTCCTGATGGTAATGCTTGTATTAGACTTCTCAGCAACTGGCATGCATAGTTGTAGATCTGCATCGTTTTGGTACATTTTCAACAGAGTGAAATAAAAATTGTTTCTTGAAGTGGGAATAGCTTTTGATCATTAACAATTAAGAGAAAAAATCACTTTGGCTAATTTTAAAGAATAAAACCAGAAGATTCAGCCTCTGAGTGATTTTGCACATTTACCTTCTTGACAACCAGTAGCACCAAGCATCATTCCCTTAGGGCACATATCACACTTTATGCCCATAGCTTTGCCTTTACACATACACTTGCCCAGCATTTGCTCACAGTCATCGCGAGCTGAGCCTCCCTTAGAACAGCCACATGCTGTGGGGAAAAATTTAAATATCATTTTTACAGATTGTAAGTTCACAGACGGTTGCAGAGTTACGTATTATGTAGGTTCACACATTCCAGGTCTATTGGAAATTTTTTTTAATTTTGCAAGCTTACGTCTACATCCAATGTTTCCATTTTGTATTCCTCGGAAGTCCCAGAAGCCAGGCTCACAACGATCGCACTTTTTGCCGCCAACACCAGGCTTACAAGGGCACTGCTTGTTGCTAGGGTTACAGACAGGCGAATAGGAGCCCAGGTCATTACAGTCACAGTGGCCTGCAGAAAATGTGAAATAACATGTCACTGTAAATGTCTGTACAAGTAAACATTAACACTTTTGGAAAACTGAAACTAGTAGCAAGTGCAGTGCCATACACATATGCCAACTATTTTGCATGTTAGCTGCCCTTCACTGGTTCTCTTCAATAAGCTACAGAGGGACATTTATAGTTCTTGTATATAAAGCACATATGTAGACTTATTCTTTTCACACAATACTTCAGGGTTGTGCACATTCTAATGAAAACTAGAGGCACTTGCACAGTGCCAGCCACTAGAAGAATGACACTGAAGTACATCCAGGCTTAGTGTTTTTGTTCCCCTCTAAATGAAAGATGTTTGACATCTTTATGAGCTAATTAACATAAAAAAAGTTGCATATGCTCTATGAACGAACCAGAATACATCAGCTATGTGCTTTTCACTGGCTCTCAATCTTGAAAGCAAGCACATTCCACGCACCAGATTCTCATTCCCTGAGCAAAATCCTTCCCGACAATGTTCAAAACAATTCACTTCTTTCTGGAATGGGAAAGATTTTGTAGTTGACTTACTTGGACACCCAGCTTCATTGAAGCCTTGCGCTGCTGTAACTCCATCTGGACAGCAACCATACATGGTGTCCTCACAGCTTGGAGGGGAGGTTTGCTCTGCCAAGGCAAGTCCATAGTGAATAAGATACAATGAGAAAGGGTAACAAACTTGCAGCAAAAACTGTACACCTCATACACGTTTCATGTAGGTTTGTTCTTATTTCTTTTCTTCCATTAGTTTACACAAACTACGGACAACTTGCCATTTTGTTGGCATTGTTTGTAATTTTTATGAACTGTGTCCATTGCCTATACCATAACCAAACTGTGAAACCTGTCTCATTTTTGTCTTCCACATGAAAGGAAGGACATCTAGATGAAGGCTCAGTATTTCATCAAAAAGCAGTTAAATTATATTGGTCATTCTATAAATTAGGGGTCCAATTTTTCGTGTTCCTGTTACATCTGACATATGATTTTGTAACTGTAGAACACAATCTCTAATGTCCACGAGTGATGAATTAATGAAAATCACCTGCCAAACAAATTGAAATTGTTGGAAATCAATATTGGTGATATTTTCCGAGTCAAATTACTTAGGTCAGGTGTAACAGGACACAAACTTTCACTTTTGGACCCTGAATTTATAGAATGACGCATATCTTCCTCCCCGAAAAACACTTAACCCATGGAATCTTAATTGAGAATAAACCTCAACAAATTTAGCCAATTAATTCTGATGGTACATGTAATAACCAAATAAATATTTTTCCCTTGTGACTACAAATATTCACATTTTGAGGTTTCAGAGCATGCATCACATCATTTGCATTTTACCTACATGTACAAGTCTGCAAATATGAAAGTTCAGATGAACATGTATCTAATGATGGCAGTCACAAGAAATCCGTGTACACTAGACATAGCCAAATGACTATTCTAAAATGGTGCAATGCTCCCATGTGTTCCTATCATTCAGGTCTAGAGATGTTGCCTCTCTATGGCCCAACCCAGACTTCTAAAACCTATGGTCAATTCCAATGATGTCAACCAGTTGGAATTATGATGACATTTATAAATTGATTTCCCTGATGCCATGAAACAGCCTGAGCATAGTAGCACCACTGATTGCCAACTGATGAGTTCTAAAGATTAATTTCTTCAAAACGAAGAATTACATGTACATTGTATGAGTAAGTGGGCTAATGACTCAACTCCAAAATATTATTGCACATTAAGAGTGGAAAGGGAAATAAAAATCCCTCTTTACATATTTCTTCTGTGAGGGTCAAAGGACCGACAGCTGTCTGTAGAGTGGATCTGGCTGGCATGTTGATTAATATCAAAAGCTGTCTGACAACTTACGTTGTGACAGGTGTGGAATCTTCACTAGTGGGCAATTCTCACAATCCAACATAACTCATTTGTTGTGAAACTTTGTCAGTTGTTTTGGAATGCCTAAGTTGATAAATACATTTGACTAGTTCCACTTGCAAACAAAATATGAAATTTCTAATTTTGATTTAACTTTTGTGGCGTGGAGGTGGCTAATACATTGAGGTCTATAATGATCAAACTGTCTTTCAATAAGGATACAAAAAACAGTCAATTTCTAAACTCCATTTGAAATTAGTAAACTTTACCTTCATTTTTTTTCTGATAACGATACCTCCTATATTGAAAAAACATACTACTAAATGTACGTGTATCTCCAAACATCACAAAGTAATTTCATGGCACTTTGCCAGCCGACCCGATAAGCAACTAAACATGTACATGTACATTTACATGCATACTCAAGCCGACTACAAAGCAAGGTGAGCAAATATAATACAGTTCCAGCAACCAGCCCCCCGAATTAACAACTCTCAAAGCAATGCTGCAGGTGGAAATAACAGGGAGCACTGCATGCTACCGCGACATGATGAACAATGTGAGTCTACCGGTTGTTATTTTGTTCTCAAGATGGAAACACGATTTGGCTGATGTGGTTCAAAGTAGAAGCTCCCACACATTCCAACTGCACTCCATAAGAGTCAGTTTGCAAGAACTTTTGTGGATATATTCCATTTTCTTCATAGTTGGATAATTTGACATGAGGGAAGGTCAGAGGTCAGTGGTTGTTGGTTATATGTCATTAGTTTTGGGGTTTATGGTTTTAATCTTGGTTTCTGTCATCTTTAAAATAATTACACTGAAAGTCATCAGGGGTTTCAAAATGAATTGAACAACCGGCACATGCTGGTAAAGCAGAAGAAGAGACGTTTTCTCACTACAAAAATTACTTAAATATTACAGAGATCTTTCAACGTTATTGGTGTACATAGCACTTAAATACCATTTCATTGCAGTAGCCACGTCTACATTGCACCCTATCTACTTGCCTATCTACAATGAAAGAAAAAGGTGGTTCCATCTACGGTATGCAAATTTATGCTGATATAAACGACGGCATGCACATGACTGAGACATACATGTAGAATGACAGCATGGGATCTGATGAAAATGATGGCGTTAATAAATGTTCTCACACAAATGAATTAAAATAAGCCAGAAATGGAAAGCTGTGTTTTCGTTATGGTGTCCAGCCCAGCTGAGCTCAAAGTACAATGGAGGAGTGTTGCAGGTTTTGGTTCAGGAATTTGCTCATCACTTTCTGAAATCTAGAATCAAAAGGAATTAATCTCCAAAGTCAGAGCACCAATTTGAAGCGATGGTTTCAGGGTTTTGAAGGGGGTTATGAATCAATTAGAACAGAGCAAACAGGGGATGCTAGGTTTCAGCTGCACAGGCAGGTTCAGGAAATGCCCCTCACCATAATTTTGAGTTTGAGCCCATATGAGAAACATTCCCCCCGCCCAAACCAAACTATCACACAAGTTTCCATTTTTGGGCATGAATAAGTGCGACAACTTGGAACACAAACCTCTGGTGACTATGGAAATAACATTAACAACATGGGTGTCGGCCAACGATGTGAAAAACATTCCAGTGTCGGTGAGGGTATGCATATAACAACACGTCCAAGTGACGGGGTGAAGGATGCAAGAACGACAAGACACAACATTGTCCGGAGAGTGGAAAAAAAAGGAAGGAAAAATGATGATCATTTGGTTAGTTCATTAAACATTAAATGTATATTCCATTTCCACAAGTTGCATTGGGGCTACATGAGAACCATTCTAATGGGACATTACTGACGTTAATTGGATCAACACAAGGAACCAAGGTAGTGAATGGCCTTTTACCCCAGGAAGTATGCGTTTCAGCCAAATGGAGTTATGCCTATGGATGGCAAATACTTGCTTTGGCTGATGTCATGGGTGGGTTATTCAGTATGGGTTAAAACTGTAACATGAAATTGTAATGTGATAAATTCTAAATGAATATCAGGGTTAACATTCCAGGGATATGCCATTATTACATTAGATATCATGCAACAATATCTCCAAGATTAGCAAATGACGTACATGTAGACCTCAAATGAGCAACTGGTCCCTCAAATATCAGGTACAAGTATGCACTTAAAAGTGTTCGCACAAATTAATTTTTAAAATATTTTCTCAAGAAATCTTCTCCACTGAATAACATTCTGCGTAAAAGTTTTCTAAACTGTGCGTGTATAAAAAGAAAAGTGCTGTGCTGTGACATGGGTTGTCTGGCTCACAAAAAACAATTGAACACTCATGTACATCAAAAGAAATCAACGAAACACAGTGCCTGTGGAGACCACTATCCAACAAAGATCAAATAAATCAAACGAATGTGGCAGATGCGATAAGATAAGATTAAAATGAAAAGAAATGACAACAACTCATCTGGTAATTAAAGTATGAAACTTGGCCTTTGGAGCAATTGTGAGAAATCTTTTCAGAAATGGAAGTCATGTACTTGAATAGCTATAAGGTACTCCCTGCCTAACCCACTTCAAATGAATTAAAACGATGCATGATTATTTTAACCACTTCCTGCCGGGTACTCTGGAATGGGAGACGTATGGTTTATATGCGTGGCCAGGGTCTCCGAACTCGGACAAAGGAAACAGGGCCCTGTAACAAAAGACCGTACTCTGAACAAAAGACCAGACTGCTGGGAATTATCGACATTTTTCACTCTCAAAAGTGGTGATAATCCAGCCTTGTTTTGAAACCCTATACCAGGGTTTGGGGCATAGAGAGCGAGCGGATTACCAGCGGGGACAAAAGCGCTCCACCACTGTAGCGATGAGCCACACAGCACCGCTGCATGCTAATCTGGCCCCTATTGAAAAGAGGTCAGCATTGCACTAAGCCAGGTTCGTGAACAAAAGAAAGTTACATAACAACTCACAATCTGGGCTCTTTTTACAAGGCTGAAATACTCGGGCATCAATGAAGGTCACCTGTCAACTTAGAGTAGTGCCTAAAGATTACTTCGTGCGGCTATAAACGACCGTTAAATGAAATGATGAATTTTTGAAGGATTTTGAAAACAAAAAAATGATAGTCGTGCCAGCCCAGCATCATCAACATTGAAAAAATGCCCCGGCATCAAGTGGTTAAAATTTGGTACCTATATCTGTCTTAATGCATGCATTTCGATCAATTTATTGTAAATTAGCTCTCACAGAAAGACTTAGCCAAACAGGTGGGCTGGTTTGTTGTTTATTTGATTCTATTAGCATTTACTGAAATAATGTGTTCCTTCACAATGACGTCTGACATAAACAACTGCAACTCTTAGTGTAGTTGCCTCCTTTAGAATGAATTTTGATTTTGGATGTTTTCAAACAAATTTGTAATAAGAAATATTATCTGGCAATATCTGGTACTGCTAGGGCTATGTTTGCCCCCCCCCGGTCTATGCACAAGCAGACAAGGGCAACATTCCCTCGGTCCTTTGTTCGGGAAAAGACAGCCGTCCTACTGTACCTCAAAAAGAAGGCAAAGTTCTCTGCTAGTGCCCTTACTATCAGTCAATATACACATATAAACAGAGCAATATTGTAAACTATTCTCACAGCACTGAGTGTTCCATAACAATAGGACAATGAATAACCTACCTGGGCAGCAGACTGCAAACTTTCGTAGTGGATGGATGTGGCAATAACTGCCTGAGGGACATTCCTCACCCTCCTCAGAGCAGGTATACTCCTCCATGGTGTTGGGCATGAGAAGAGGACTGTCCCCATCACAGGGTTCCATCTCAACATCTAGCGAAAATAATAAAAAATCAACATCAACATTTTATTCTGCTTTGACAAAGAGGCAGTTGTTCCTAAGCTCTAATCCTTGACCAAGTCTTTGACTTTAGCCCTGATCTGACATTTGACCTAAAGATAACCTAACCCTTGAACAGATTGCAGTAGCATCTTATAATAACAGCCAATGTTCCTAGCATGGGTAAATGTTTTGAGTCATTTTTCTTCAGACACTACAGATCAACACAGTGCACCTGTCACTCACTACCAGCTGACAATCTGGCTATCAAACAGAGTCAAGGTCCGTAGTGACAAATATTGTTACAGACTGTTGTTGCATCAGGTGAAGCCACCTATGTTCCTCAGAGTGTTCAATTGTACCACGAATCATCAGAAAGTTTCTGGTCCCTGATATCTCAAAGGCTTCACACTGAATCCTCCCATTTATCAACTTCCACTTACAAACTTGGACTTGACCTTAAGGGGTTGTGGCCCTCTTTTTCCAGAATCCTTAATCAAAATCTGACAAGCATATTTGTTTGCGCTGTTCTTTGATCTAAAATGATTTTAATACTACAAATGAATGAGAAAGAATCAAAGTACCTTCACATGATCCTTGGCTTTCCACATAAATCGGCTTTTGCTGTTCACAGGATGCTTCCCTGAGTAGGCATTCGCTGCCATACGTAACCTGGTTTGACCCGCACACTGGTAACCGTGTAGCTGGGCAGTTCATGATGCAGGAACAGTAGGAGTTACCGTTGGTCATGAACTCGCAGGTACCACCAAATTGACACATGGATTCATCACATTCCCGAGTGTAGTCTAACCGGTCCCCATCACCACCTTCCTGGTCCCCATCAGTACCATTACCAGAGCCTGACATCTCAGCTGTTGCGGATAACAGGCTTTGGTTTTAATATACCCTTAACTACAAGTTATTTAGACATTTTTAAGTGACATATTGTGAATCAATCAGTCTATAACGCAAAACAACTTAAAAACCTTCATTTGGGTTTTGTTTAAATCATTCCACTGACACCACATCAATTGAAATTCAGTCCTTAGCCGTGTGTTTTTAAACAACTTACCCTGCCTACATTCCATACACATATCCGTCCAAAAGTGTTAAAACTTGAAACATATGTTAATTGAAAAGGCTTGAAGCTTTGACAAAATTTTTCTGAGTACTTTCACAAGAATGAAATAGAAAATGTTGATAAGAAGTACCCTACAAGTCACCTCAAAACAGAACTTTATTAAAAAAACAGTAGGGAAATAGCTTATTTGTTGGCACCCCTCTCAAAACAACAGGTCAGACCATGATGCAACTACTAACAGGAAAATAAATAATGGAGAAAGATACAAATTTTGACTGTACCACCATCCTCGCAGGGACCATCGAACGCCACAGCAATTCGGATCCTCTCATTACACATCTCAGCTCTGAGGTGACAGATGCTCTGATAGGAGATCTGGTTGGTACCACAGACTCGTTGCTCAATATCTGCACATGTCGGACAGCTACACTTGCCTCGGTTGCAGATGGCACCATACTCGCATTTGACCCCTTCACACTCAACTACAAAGACAGTAACAATTCAAAGGTGAACCCTAGCTCCCAGGACAGGTTAGCTGAGATGAATTTGAATCCCTTAAAATACTTCGTTGTGCAGGAAAACTATGGAACAGTCTTGCGGGGGGGGCACCAACCCCACTGAAAATACACATCATGACATTGGTTCAACTGTCTTTCTAAACCATTAAAAATCCAAAGAAACTTTCCAGTGTCAAGCAACAGGTCTTGGGTTACATGATCCTAAATCCTACAAAAACCTACAAATGAAAACTTACTGCATTCTCCTTGGGAAACCACAGAGATTACTGCCTGCTGTCGACATGCCTGGACATTAAGCTCACACTCATTGGCATACGTGACATCGTCAGAACCACAGACAGGTGAGTCAAAATTGACACACTCCTCCGGACAGACACATTGTGGTCCTTTTGGGCCCATCTCACATATGGCGCCAAAGTCACAGGTATGGAGTTCACAGCCATCTGGAAGAAATTTTGCATAGCAAATTTTAAACGACCTACAAATGTGGTCAAAACAGAATGAGTCGTAAGTCAACAAAAAACATGTCCAAGCAACCTTCAGCTTCTTTCATAAACATGTACAGTATAACTGTGATTTTCAACAGACCAAGCAAGAAATAATGTATCACACTTACTACAAAGGCCCTCTGACTCAATCCTTATCTCCTTCTGTTGTTCGCATGCAGCTTGCTTCAGCAAGCAAGCATTACCATATGTTACTTCATCAGTGCCACACACAGGGCGGTCCTCGTCCGTGCACATCCTATCACAGGAGCAGGTGGTCTCGTTTTCGACTACAAGACACACAGCACCATAGCCACATCGGATCGCACTACACAAACCTTCTGATTGGTTCACTGTTACAAACAAACGGACACAACACAAATGTAAAAGATGTTAAACATACATGTAATATGGCACTGAAAGTAATTTACCCTTAAAAGTTCAACAATTTCCATTTTTTAAGAGTATGGTACCCTTCGAACCAAGTTTTTACTGAACAATTTAAGAGGTTTTTCCTAGTTATGAGTTTTTAAACAGACTCACTAAATCTACTCATGGAAATAAAATATCCAGTACCAAACTGAAATTATAAATCAGAACAGTACGCTTGAATTCAACAAGTTCCCAAGTATAAAGTATACAGGAAGCTGTTTGTGAAAAGAAAAAAGTGTCTTCAGTAACAGGAAAGAGTCTAAGCATTTCTTTCAAGGGAGGGTATCCATAAAAGATGTACATGTACATTTCAATGGGATTCAGAGCTGCTTGTATTTACATTAACCGAAGTGGAAAGAAAACATCCAAGCTCAAAATCTGCAAGTGCTGAAGCATGAAAGCACAATTCAGCAGAAAACTTCATGGGATAATTTTGAGCGGATCTGAGCCAAACAAGTTCAGACAGGTCAATTATTTGTCTAATTTTACTTCCTTCAAGGGTCATAAAACCGTAATATGTCCAATTCCTGTTTAACCTACAATTACTTGGAGTAGATTTAAGCTGCTACTAAAAACTTTCTCCTGGGAACGTGTAAACATAGAAAGCGGCATATTTTCACCAGCAGCTAGATATAGTACATGTACGTGTCTCTAGAGGGGTTAGTAGCTGAAATTCTTTCGACACAAAATTAGCCATACAGGATGCCCAGTTGTCAAGGGAGAGATTAGATCAGAGTTTGGGTCAAGCAGGTCAATGATACCAAATGGTTTGGCATAAGGGTGGAATGGTTTTGTCATTTGAAATGTCAACTGGAGACCTTACAGCAGAACTATACCTGTACAACACAGTGAGATGTTTGTCCTCAAGTACAGTTAGATTGTGCATTATCAAGTTATGGTCCCATCTCTTGTTCATCAACCCCTTCTCCAAGTACCTCTTTCTCAATATCTCCCTATTAATTTAATCCGTCTAGCAGTGCTTGGTGACAATGCTCATTCTATGCACTGCCAGTAAAGAGGAGCAGAAATGTGTGCTAAACTATTTGGGGTTGACTTTCATCCAGTTTAATACAGGGCATAGAATCACTTGGTAACCGTAAAGATGCTGTTCGTTTCAACAGGGAGAAGCTTTGGACCTCCGCACCATACAACCCCATGGCCTGAACATCCAAGAGGGAAACTACTAGCTAAGACTCTTTGCTTTTCCTCTCTTTCGTCTGCAGATTATACCCTCTCCCCCTTGGGGTCCAGTTTGTTCCATTTGTTCCAGTTTGTTTGGTCCATTTGTAGTTTTTCTTTGATCTCTTCCAATACATCCCTTTGTTGCTCAACCAAGCCTTTGTAACTTTGCCCCTTCATCCAGCCTGCAGCTTTCTTGACCTTTCCTCTTGTATTCCTGCATTCATCCATACCTAGTTGATTCCCTGTTTGCTAACCTGTCCTCTCTACTTGTCATTTTGCCTTTGAGAAGGATTGAAACATCATGCCCTCCATATTTTGTGATTTGTGGATTAATATCGAAATATCAAAATTGTCATCACATGCATACACATAGTTTTCACAGACTGCATCAAGTTTTGTGAATATAATTCTTTGTACATAATACTTTTACACAGCGATGTAACTTAGTCAATGTACAGATGCCAAAGAAAGTCAATTCCATTCAGCTGAGGGTGAGACTGGAGAAAAATGAAATACCCACAAAATAATCAGCTTTGGTTACGGTCCCACAGCGGTGTCAGGTCTATGTTTGCTTAAAAGGCACCCCTAAACTACTGATTTCTTGTGCTCGATATCAACTGTTACATGTAAACGTACCATAAAGGTGAACTCAAAATTTTCCAGATTTTAAACTAGATTACTTGAAAAATCCTGAAATCAGGAAAATCATGATGAAAAAAAACCCAGAAATCCTGACAAATGTCACCACTGGCTGCTCTATACCATACTTGTATCTAATGCGTTACTACATGTAGCTTAACCACAACACTCCTCTATGTATTCCGCCTACGTGTCAACTCTAGACAATTTAAGTACTTGTACACATAACTTCACAGATTCATTGGATATATGCAAAACCACATACTTTCATTTCTAAAATTTATGAACAAAAAATATTGCTTTTATGAGGTTTTGGTCACAACACTGAATTGGGATGTGGTCAGGCCTAGATAAAAGGAGAAAAACCACACATCAGTCTTGTAGTTTTCACGCTTGCCTGACCAAAATGACCATACTGTACATGCATGTATGCTGAACTGACAACTTACACACGTAAACCAAGGAATATATGAATGCTGTAATTTGAAGATTGTTGAATGCAGAGGCTTCTTGGAACCTAAGGTTAGAAACTGTTGCTGTAATTTTCTAAAAAAGTTTGAAGTGCATCTCGAACATGATTTGTTCTTACTAATTAAGGGAGAAAAATATCGGTACACAAAAAGGACAGATGTATACTTACAGCATGGCCCATTAGAGATGACATGTACGGCTTCATTTCTCAGACATTGTTCCCGCTGAAGGTGACAGATACTGTAATATGTGACACCATCACTGCCGCAGATCGGCACGTAGATCTCAGGACAGCTGCTGATACACACACAGGTGGGATTACCCTCCAGATCCAAGATGCACTTGCCAAATTCACACTGAAAGCTGCGACATGGAGCTGGAAATGTGATGAAACAAATCAAACAATTGGTTGGAATGAAAATCTGAATTAATGCGTTGTGCTCAAACAGTTTCATGTGAAAGTGATCTAAAATTCATACCCTGTACATTGCTGATACAAGCAAGTCAATTCAGTTGCAATACAAAAGGAATAAATATGTGCTTGGCCAGTTCATGGTCACTGATGATATGTAAGCCAAAGGAGAAGGGACATTGTCAGCAGTAACAGCTCTCACATCTTTCAAAGTCTACTGTAAGGTCTGAAGAATTTTACAGGATCTGATGAAATGTTTATGTACAGCCAAATTATTACTACTATTTCCCTAACCCTCCTCAGTACTCCAAAATCCTTTGGGTGGTTTTGGAGGATTTTGGAGGATTGCGGAAGGTGACCAGCAGAAAGAGCCGGGGGGGGGTACATGTATTTGTTGAAAGATACAACCGTGCAAGCGGGATGGTTTGTGGATTCCTGCAAAGGAACCTGGCAGAAACTTGTAGAATCTTGGTGGTTAAGGGATTTGCCTACGTATAGCTCATACATGCCCCACCTCTGACGGTTTTTTTCAAATACTAAATGCACAATAAACAATCTAACAAAAAGTCTATAGATCAACCCTGAATGTGGAATTCCCAAGGCTTACATTTTTCTGGCTTACAGTAGCTCTCCTCAAGCACAAAGAGTTCAAACCGAGACTGGCAGGCTACTCTTCTCATCAGGCACTCTGATTCATACATCAGACCATCTGATGCACACACCGGGTTGCCTGGTAACTCGTCACAGTCAAAGATGCAGTCTGCGATGGGCTCACGGTTCCTATTCAATTTGCAGACTGCATCCTGATCCAAGTTGGCCGTAGAGCAAGGATCTGAATAGAAGTATATGATGTCGATTATTATCATTTCAACAAAGAAGAAAGCCTGAATAAAGTCCAACACAAAGCACTGGAACTGACCTCCCCCCCCCGGAAAAACCCAAAATTCTGTCCCAAAAAGTTAATAATTCAAAATAGAGAATATCCGACCAAAGACAGATACATGCAGATTTTAGTATCTGCAACACAAATGGATACTGCCTCAATATTGTCTGTAGTTTTCTAGCAACAGTTCAGAATACTTGGAACTTTACTGATTTAATATGGCAACAAATGTGCATGCATGTACATATACACTTTGAATTTTTTCCTTTTTTTTGTAAGACGGTTTTTTGGGTGTAGGTTTAAAGTCAGGGTGATGAATATGAGGTTTCAGTTTCAAATAAGAATTTCTGCATTATGACGATTTGAAACCCATAAAAAACTGCAATATCTAAAGTACAGCTTTGCAAATTGATATCATATCAAACAACACTTTTTTTCTCAGAATACAAGAACAATTTTTAACTCACTGCAAGTTCCTTGGAAGATGATTCGGATGTTTCGTCGCTGCAGACAGCTGGCTCGTTTCAACTCACACTCATTTGGATAGTCACTCCCATCGCTGCCACACACGCGGCTGAAGTCCGCGCTGGCACATTCCTGGGGACAGACGCACTCTGCCGACATGCTATCTGGCTTGATCATGCACTCTGCTCCAAACGGACAGTGCTTGTTTAGGCAGAGGCTCGTCAGATCTAGATTCACAAGACAAAGGGTGGTGAAAACAGTGCTGGCTATTGTTTCCATGGTTACAGGCCTACTGATATCAGCTCCTGTCAATCGCTGATGAAGGTTTCACGGATGTCTGGTGTGTACAGGAAAACGGAAGCTTGGAAAAATGGCTGTTTCCTTCAATGTGATTTAATTGCACGTACAATATTTTACACATTCAGTGATCATGGATGAATGTGTTACAGATTCTCAAGATAATGAAGCAACACAAAGTACAAGCTGATCCAAAATTCAAACGAGTACAATCAAGTTCAGGCATTATCATGTTCCATGTTCATAGTCCATATGTGTTTTGGCTGCTTCGCAACTACATGTACATCACACCAGCACAGTATCTTTCCGAAATCTTGAACACAATGCGGCAGTGTGATAGTGCAGTTCTTGAAACAATTCAGGAAACTGGATTCAGGATTTCTTTCAACAGAGGAGGTTGATGACAGAGAACTGATGATCCCGAATCCCAGGTGGGCTCATCTCCTGAGACAGAGCCTGAAGAGAACAGCATACATCTGCAGGCCAAGATACAAGAAATTCCCTTTCCCTGCTGCAAAGGTGAGAAGGTTTCATGAACTCCCAACAAGCTGGATTTCAATTACGATGGCTATTAATCCCGTGAACTTCCAGGTTCCACTGAGAAAAAAAAAGGTTGATTGTCTGCTTGCCAGTAGAAACACAAGTTCACAGAAAGTCACGGCCAATTACACATTGATTTCAGGCAAAGTCAGAGCAGTCATCTTCTTCACAGGAAAAATGTGACAAGGTTCGAGGGTCAGTTAACAGTTGCTCAGAGAGGCGTACCAGTTTCCTATCCTGTTTATCCTTCAACTTACAGTTAAAGTGTTTCCTAAAAAGTTGGCAATGTTACATGTACTTCTCTCATCTACAACTTTTTTGTGGTAGTTCTGCTTTTTGTTCCACTAACTTAGATGGTAATCTACCCACACCACAAAGGATTTTGCAGACTAAAAATTACAACAGCTGCATGTGGACCACACCACTTCAAACTTAGAGTTCTCTGGACAGGTGTGTTCGCCAGGTGTACACTAATCTGAAGATGAATTCTTCGGCAACACGTGGGGCAACAAAAATTCTCCACAGACTGAAGAGCAACAAGGTCCAACTGGGTACTTGTGAACTTGATCCTATGCCACCGTTAAATGTTTGTCATTGGGTCAACAATGGTATACTGACTCCCACAACAAAAGAAAGGCACATAAAGGCTGCAGATGGGTGATATCCAAAAATAAACAGGGAGCAATATGGGTTAATATATACTCTTCAAACACAGCTCCCACATCTCATCCATAAAAATCCTTGCATAAAGACCCCATCTATAACAGTAACTTACACTGTACCTATTGAAATTCAAAAATGAGACACATATATTGAGCGATTTATCAACGTTTAATGAGGAATTTCATAACTAGTGGCTGGCGTGAACAGAAGCAACCTCAGAATAGAAACAAAAGGCACATACGTAAGTTACTTTGTTGGAAAAAGTCAAAGTCCATGGCATTTGTGCGAAATGTCATCAGTGGGATTCTTATCAAAGGTGCAATCATGAGTTTGGAATCATCTACATGTATCTCTGGTTAACACTGCTGGCAGATTGAGGGGAAGTTCCGTTTAAAAAAAAAGAAACTCCAGAGAGAATGTACTACATGTACAACCGCTTCAAAGAAATTTCAGTGAAAACTCACAGCTCCATTTCAATGAGACAGAAAAGCGAAATTCTTGCAGGGAAAGAATACTTCAAGACAGAAATCTGAGGTTAGATTTTCTACTGTTCAATCTCTCGTGCAGATGAGAAAAACTTATGCTGGGGAAGATTTGAAGAAACTTGGCCAGGCAGCTGTTGGACTCATCAATTGGAAATCCAGTTCTGCCAAGCTACACCACACTACCTCGAAGAGTAGCCTGGGTCATTGGTGTACTCAAGCAGCTTTCAACGCTCCCAGTTCATACTCCCGTTCATCCAGTTGATCCTTCCTGAGTCTCTGACACATATCTTAGGAGAAAGCTCATCCAACAACTGGATTCAATTGCTCCAGACTAAGAAACAAATGAAAAACCATCTGCATATATGCTCTCCTTGCACAGGTACATCCCAGGTGCATATCTCTGAACTAAATGACTTACATGTAAAACCGAAAGGAGACTTTGACAGAGAGAAAAAAAAACAACGGTTAAACTCTCAAAGCAGAGTAAAAACTGCGATGACTTGTTATACTCAAGTTTTTCAATTAACCAAACATTCGGCCACTTTCCCATTCAAGAGCAGGAATGTGAAACACCAATCCACGGAACAATGCCTGCTTCACCGACAATGTCGGTAACAACTGGCGCCCTGCAGATAGGGATGTGTAATAAAAAAAGGTAACCGATTCAAGTTGGCTATTAAAAAGGAATTGCTTTTAGGTACCGCTGGAAGGCTTTCTTTGTACAGGTGTATGTACCAATGCCGCCTACAGTTCAGTCATTGTTAAGGTGTTACCCAAGCCCATTGGAGCACAGCCAGCGATTCAAACAGTCCAGTTTGAATTTCATCACAGCAAGAGTCACCTTTGATCCCGTTTATTTTGTCAAAATTCTATACACTGCTTGAAACCTTCAGGCCTTCTTCCCAACACATGTATTCTACACTCCTTCCTCCTTACCAAAATAATAATGAAAAACCTCAGAATCTTTTATAAGCAATTGTTACAATGGGCCAACAAAGAACCAATTCTGCCTTGTACAAATGGGCACTTTATTGCGACTCTCTAAAAACTTTGAACACAGCGTGGGACTATGACCAAAGTGCTTGGGGCACTAATTTCTTTTATCCTATTCCATGGCACTGAACAATGAAAATAAAGTAAGAAAATTCCTTACGTACTTTTACTTTATTAGTAAAGACGCAAGATTGCCACTCAAATTCTTCAGAAACTGACATTGACTCAACTTGGAAAACCTGTCCCTCAACTCTACTGAATGTTCATGCTTCACTGCTCTTTATGTTCTTATCTGCAAATCATGACCAATGACTTCCCCTGTGGACTAACACTATAAAACACCTTTATGGTGAGAATTTTCTCCAAAGAGGAAGCACTTTAATCTTCACCACAAATCTTTTGGGGAGTCGTTTTGGTTTCTTTTTGTTGAGGTTTTTCCATGTCAGTATGTATTTTCATGTAACAACTGTAGATGATCATTTAGCTTAAACTTTTAAGTTAAGATATGCCCTCTGGTGCTAATTGGGCTGAGATTGCGTTCTAGCAAAAGTCAAAACACGGCATCTGTGTTTGTACAACGTATGTAGTGATGATATAATAGCATCATACAGTGTCCCATTTCAAGCACCCCCTTTGACTTTTAAATTCCCAATGATGCGATTAAATATATGAGGAAGGACATGCGGCATAACAGGGAATTAGAATGTGGTTTTGACTCCAGGAAAGCAGAACAGGTATAGGAAAGACATTAACATTCGCAGAAAGTCAACTGTACCATGAAAATACATTCCTCCCTCTAAATTCCAAGGGCAGATTTGGTGTTCCTATATATAGGCCTAGTGAAAATACAACCACTTAACATCGCTATGCCCAAATGATTTCTTTTGAAAACATGTGCCGTGCCCACTGCTGGCATTTTCATCTTTTTGTTGTTGCATTTTCGGATACAACAAAACAATTCATCTTTTGAATGAATGAGACAACTAGGACAAAACAGTACAGAGAATAGGACAAAATGTAAGTTTCCTTTTAGTATTTTAAGGTAAATTCAAGATAAATGTGAAAAAAAATCCTTAAAGGCATTTCACATTACTTGAACTTTACATGAAGGTACCGGAAAGTAATGGCATGTTTTTGACTTCAAGCTTGTAAATTTCTGTTAACACAGAATAGTTTAAACTGTCAAACCAAAGATACACACATACATGTATGTACATAGTGGCACCTTCTTTGTTATGAATATTTCTGGTATGTAAATGGTTGGACACTGAACAATGAACATGTGCGTGCATGCCTGGATGTTATCTCTAAGTCATTAATTATATTTTACTTGACACGTCAAGAAGAAGTTGACATACTGCTATCTCACAGTAAAGAACGATATAAAGCAGGTGACTTGCTTTAATACAGAACAAGATTGGAAAGTTCAACTTTGAACAAAATTTGCTTCTGCCGCAGTACACTGCAACCATTTTAGAGTCAAAAAGAAGGCCAGTCATCAATGAACAAACAAGATAGGTCTGTACATGTATCATATTTGTTAATAAGAAACAGCAAATGGAGTTTACTGATGATGTAATTCAATGTTCAGTCAAGCAAACCATTCAAGTACAAACTAAGGATTTTATGTTGAGAAAAGAATGGGCTGATTAAAAGAAAATGCTTTTCAACAGATTTCATCATTTTGAACTGACAAACACTTTGATAATATTTCAGAAAGGGAATTAAATCTCACCAATTATGATCACTATTTATTATATGATGCATCTATGTGACATAGCCATAGTTCCAATAACCATACTGTTGCAAAGTAAAAAAGAAAATATTTTAAAGTGTAGCTTTCAGAAAGCTGTAGAAAATTTGCGTGAAATGAAAGAAATCACTGAGCCACCAGAAAATAATTTAATCTGACAGTCCCTCAATTAGTGCTTAGTGTATTTGACCACCCCTCTTCACATAATAGAAGAGCCTTAAACTTTGGGGCCTAGAGGAAACCAGGGTGACAGTGGAGAGAATAAAGTAGGTTGCACAACACATGCATTTTGGTTGTCCATAGTACATGTGTTGGATAGGGTATATCAATTCATGTATTCCAGGTTTTTTTTTAAACATGCTTTATGTACAATACTAAACAGAGCTGTAAGCCTGTATGCGTGCAGAGTTCCACAACGTTGACAATCATAGTTTCCTCAGTCTAGAATTTCCCCTCTGGAGAGGTGTGCTGGCCGACCTTCGGACAAATGGATATATATCCAAGCAATTTTGAACTCCATTAACACTTAGAGGCTAAATCCTTTCAGATATACATGTACTAGTAAGGATTTTCTCGAGGCTCAATTTGACCTGGAGTTAACCTTCCTCAAGGCATTTCTTTTGTAGATGAAACTTGCCCACAAAATCACCTTAAACTCCAAGTTTCAAGTGATACCCAACCCAAAAAGTTTCTTCCAAACATTACACACTCAGGTGGCAAGAATTTCCAATTTCATTCGTAGTATGATGCCACAGTCAGGATGGGATACAGGGAACTTGTGATGAAGGGAACCATCAACTCTATCAAGATAGAGGTCATGATCTCTTTTAGTCACCCTTAATGTATCAGAGAGTTCATCTGCAAGCTTCAGCAGCGAGGTATGCCACAAGGCAGAAGACCTCCAACTTTACAGACATGAGGAAAAAACTAGGTCTACAGTTCAACCCATACGGTGCACTATGCTGTTTCGAACAAAGATTTTCAGGTCACTGTTGCCATTATACATTTGCTATTCTTCTCGAAGAAAACTGCACCTGTGATGTTTTAGGTATCCCCTATCAAAATTCCCCACCCTCCAAGGCCCAGTCTTTCAAGGGGCATTGAGCCCTTGTGAAAATAATTGGCCTAGATTCATTAGAATTGGCCATTTTGAATACATGTATGTTGAACTGAAAGCGAGGTTAACTGTTCATTTTGGAAACATGGGAGTAAATTTATGATAGCAATAAAACAAAAGTTCATTATAAATTATAAGCAGTTTACTCTGAAGTTTAAGCAGGAAACACAATGTAATTTCAGAATCCCCAGCTGTCTCAGTCACGTTGGAACTAACAGTAACAATAAGTACAGTACATGTAGCCCAACATGTACACTGTACATGTACATTATTCCCATCCATCCCCACCTTTGTAGTTGTAGCTATTTTCTCGTCCGATTTACTTCTGTCCAAAACTCAAAAGAAACCTTGAGCAGCCAAAGTAATTTTCTTGATTTAGTTCCTGACCTTAGCCACAGCAATTTTCCAAATTTCTTTATTTACGACACCAAGTTCAACGGGTAGGGGAATTAACCTGGCTCATTTCCACACTGTCAAAATAATATGAAGTTATCTACTAAAGGCCAAGAGGTAGTATAACTCAGATGGAAGTTTAACCTCCATAGACGTCAATCAAATTGACTACTAGATGCAAGACAAATTGGTGTTGGCAGCTCAGTGTTCATGCCAGATGTTAAACATATGACCAATTTCACGATTAGAGGTCATATTGCAACTCTTTTATACTTCACAAGTTCTCCCTAAAAAGGGCATCTGCTCTGACTGAAATCAAACACTTCCATGGGGAATCTGGAATCTAACACCACCAGATCAGCTGGTATGTACAGCAAACCTCTTCATCCTCCAAGAACACAAGGTTATAAATAGGGTAAAAACCCCATGAACTGCACTCTTTTCAATTGGAATCAAACGCCATATCAAAGCAAATCAACTTGTGGTTTGACAGTGCTGGACAACAACAGTACTCAAAGAGAGAAATGAATAAGAGGGAACTGAAGAGAGATGAACCTCAGACCTGCTAATTGATAGAGCAGAAAGCTTACCATAACCAATCGTCTTAGAACAATGTATACAAAAAGTAGATTGAAGAAACAATTACAAACCACCTACATGTAATTCTAAGAATGTTAAACCTGTGACTGTGACAATGTTTACAAAATCAAAGACCAGTTTGCTTGGAAACTTGCAGAATAATTTACCTGGTGACACATGAGGCTTGCAGTTCAAAAAAGGTTATGGTGTCCTTTACCAGTAATGAATGAATATCTAGTTATGTTGATACTTACCACAAGGCCCAGACGAGGCAGCTGTAATCCTCGTCCTTAATCGACACGACGATGATTTCAAATAGCATTCATTGTTGTAGGTCACTCCATCTGTACCACAAACTGGAGAGAAGGTGTTGGGACATTCTTCAGGACAGAAGCATTCTGCTTCCTGATCCAATGTCTCTCGGCATATCGACCCATAGGCACAGAGGATGGTTGCACAGGGGCCTACAAAAGTACAGAATATGTGAGTCAATGCTGATTGAAAAGATGATCCGGAAAGTGCAAATTACTCAAAGGAATTGAGATACACAAAGGTTCAAAGCAGAAGGGCCTGCCTTAAATTCATTTGGGAATTGCAATTTGTAAGATCTTCATGGAATTGAAACAAAGAGCAATAAAACATTAAAGCTTTATATACAATATCTTTAGGTATTATGAATTTCAAATGTGATGAGCCAAACCACAGTCTTTTGGGAACAAATCATGCATGAGTCAGCATACGACTGTGCTGATGAGACAGAATATCACGTGAGCAATGTAGCTGTTCCAGAAAAGCCTCATACTGAGCAGGCGCTGTTGAAAAACCAAACTGGCTTATTCAGGGATTGTTCAACAGTATCCATGGTGATTCAGCTACAAGACTGGCTTGACTCTCTGCAGAAATGTCCAGTAATGTAAGCATGAGAGAAAATCCCAAGAAAGATCATTTCTAAATAAAACACACTGAGTAATGTGCAGACGGGACAACAATACACTATGCAGCCTGGGTTGGATCTGAAGTCCCATACAGGTAGATTGTGCTGAATGTGGACTGCACACAGGCAAATCAGCGACATGTACATGGCAACTATCAACTACAAGTATGTGTATAATTAGAGTTATTCCATTTGTTCAAGGAAAAAAATTGCATGAAAAATAATCTTTTACATGAAAACCAAAGAGGTTTCGAAAAACTGTGCGTTTTTTTAGGAATAAGTTACTTAGTCAGGTCAAATGCAGGTCGACCATAAACAGCACAATACAGCAGACTCAGAGTTTCTTTTGAAAATTCTGAAATAGGAAAGCCCAAAATGGTGGCTCTTAAAATATCTTCCAACCTCAGCTGAGTATGAAATAGTTTCAATGGGTGAACAAGTCCTCAAATGCACAATTTACTTAGTAACTGATAGTTACTGAACTGACAAGTAACAGGGGAGGAAATGTTGAACTTTGCAAGGAACAAAGGCTGAAAACCTGCAACTAAACTTTTTTCTCATCTTCTGAACAACAGATTACGACCGCAATACATCGGTCTTTGACACAAACTTCCGAGGCAGGGAAACACAACAAATCTTGTTTGGATCAACTTCAGAATTAATTCTCCATTAAACTGAATGTACAACAACCTTGTGTAACACCCTGAGGGAAGTTGGAAAAGCATGAAATGCACGACAGGATCTGAAGTGATTTTTATTCTCCCATCACACTGGCAGTAACGAGTATTCCATTTTGTTGTTTTGGTAGGTAAAAGTTCATGCTTTCAGAGACGGACGTGTAATTGGGGTTGGGCATATGTTGAACCAAAACACATCAATAGCTGAACTTTCTAGAGTGCATATGGGTCGGATGAGAAATAGGTCAGAGTCTTCGACAAAACTGGTCACTTGCAAAGGATATATTAACGGTTGCCATCATTAATTCATTAAAAACCAAAAACTTTAGAACCTTCCAAGATGTCCAAAAACTACAAACACGTGATTTAGGGCTAATATGGTACATTCATGTGGTGCTGTACACTGTGTTTATGAAAGACTTGTACAGGCATGTACACTGATGTCACCTGTTACTGGTTGGTGAGTTCCGAGTAACTTTCCATCAAATGACTGGATTTTCAGTAGTTTCTTTGCTTTGTTTCTACATTTGTGAATTACGCTCATGCCCAAGTTTTCACGGATATAAATCTGCAAATGTCTGTGTGAGATTCATATGACCCTGAATATTGTCCACTTGACACACCGTGCACAGGGCAATTAAGCAAGAGAAATGGCAGACTCCGAAAAAGTCCCTTTATGATCAGCACAATTGCTGAGGGTTTAAAGCAGTCGAGCACTTTTTGTGACTGGTGCCCAGGTCAATGCCAAAATACCTGGATTATTTCTGCCCCAAAACGCTTGAAAAACAGCAGGCTATAGGACTCAAATCAGGTGTGCCAAATAACCTTTAATTTCAATGGATCCTAAATCGGGCTAAATTTTTCTCAAAATCTGTCTTTCAGTTGATTTTTTCAACCACAAGTTCCTGAAATGGGCGGAGAACTTAAGACATCGGCATTGGGAACAGATCTTGGCAGATTTCCATTTCTTTTCCTTCTGTCACCTTTTTTGTCCGAGGTCATTTTGTCAAAAGGACTCCAATCGACTTGCATATTGTACCTCGAGTATTGACTTAACTGATTTTCCCAATTTTTTCACGGTCGGGTGGGAGGCCGTTTTCATGAACAAACTGGATTGGCAAAACCTGGCTTTTATTCAACTTGGGAAAAACTATTTTCTTTTCTTTGGGTTGGCTATCACCACAGGGAGCTTTTCTAACACTTTCCTAACAAGTTTTAGAAGAGAAAGTTACTGGTATTGGCACATTATGAAGTAGGTCTTGATACACCTTTGCTTAGAAAATGCACTTTTTGTGTGGCTCCTTCCAATGCAAGGTTGTGAAAATGTCGAAAGCCACGTACATGTCCATGTAGTACAAGTTTTAAGTTCATAATGAAAACAATTGGGTTTTAAAAGTTTGAAAATATGAATTAAGTCTGTACATTGAACAAAGCCCTTTTCAAAGAGCCCAAGGTAAGCAATGATATTTACAGTGACTTAACACAGATGCTGTGTACATGTCAACTACATGTACATCTTTTTCCAGTTACCACCATCTGTCAGGTTATTTCACAGAGAACTTTGGACTTGATTTCAGTCAGACAAAATGATTTTGGCCACCAAGAGTTGTTGGTGTGATGGCCCTGGGCTGCGTTGATGTGCAGAAGCCTGGTTTTTCCAGGTCGAATCACTCAAATTGTGTTGATTCTAGGGCATTATTGGTGCAGGTGTATTGTTTGGAGGTGAACATACTACGTCACAAGCCAAAGGCTATTTGCAGGAAATTTTGGTTGGACAAGTGAAAATTCACCTCTGGGAAAGAGAGAAAAGCCTACATAAATTTATCCAATGATGGCCCCCCAAAAAGAAACTGTGCCTGTGGATGAGGCAAGAGTTGAATTCTTTCCCAATCTTTTTTTTTTCAAAAAATGCAAAAAGTGACTGTTTTGCATAAACTGTGCTTGCAAGTGGGTAATTCCATAAATTAGGGGTCCATTTTTTTGTGCCCATGTTACATCTGACATAAGATTTCGTAAGTTCGGAACACATTTTCTAATTTCCAAAAGTGATAAATTAATGCAAATTACTGGACTAACCAATAGTAACATTTGAAATCAGTTCCAGTGATAATGTTTCCATGTCATATTAACAAAGGTTAGATGTAACAGGGGCACAGAAATTCACTTTTGGACCTCTAATTTCTGGAATTACCTAAATCCAAGTTTTGTGCTGTCTTTCTTGAGACATCAGGATTCCAAACAAGTGTTGGGACAGATAATTTAAGAGAAAAGGTCTCGTGAATTTTGTGTCACTTAATTTAGATATACATGTACTGCTTGATTCCTCACAAAGCACTGCAAATCATTCCAATGCCTATCACCAATAAATCACTGGTCTTGTTACTATACATCTTGAAGATTTCTTGAGCTCTCAAGCCCTGTTGACAAGATATTTTACCCTGAAATTCAAGCTGAGATCTGATATGTTATGAATAATGCACACTATGTAAATACATGTATGTAAAGAGCATGAACTTGCAGTTGAACTTTAAAATGTAGACAACCTGTCACCTTAACGTCATGACCGGCATTTGTTATACAAATGCACAAAAATAGGCAAGGACTGGTAACCTGTTACCTCGAAACATTCCTGATATTTAATTATTAATTTTGAAGTCTTTGAAGGAATGTGTCGTAACGGTTGAATCAATATCTTTTACATTGCAATGACCAAGTCATGAATACTTTTGTTATTCAGTTTGGAATGCCAGGATTTAATGAAACCTCTGTCTGTGTCTCAATTAATCAAATTTTTTTGGGGGGGGTAAAGACCATGTCTCAGGGCACATTTCTGGTGTCGTTTTGTCCACAATACGACCCATGGAACCATTGTCATGGTTGACAGTGAACAATATCTCTATAAGTAGACAGTGAGCTCTTTGCCAAATGCACGCAAGGAACGTCCTCGAGTAGAGACTAAAGTCCAGTGAAGTTAAGATTCCAAAGTTGAAATGTTTGACTGTGGGAACTAATCATGGGATCAGATTTTGATCTGCAAAGTGCAGCATAACTTTGTTAATGTTCATTTCATCAGGGTTCGAAGGAAAATTGCAGCGATGTGTTTAAACTGTTCCTCCATTTATCAAAAAGATGAGAATTTGGAGCAAGACAGATTTTAAAAAATCACAGCAAATATCTTCAACCTACATACATCAATCAAATCTGACCAACTTTTCTCAACAAAGGGTTGACAGAGAATTTATGTCAAAAGTATACAGTCAACTAATTTTCTTTGATTAAAACACTCATGAAAATGTGAGTTTTGACAAAACAGATTTTTGTGAAAGAAAAAATCATGAAGAACAAAGATATTTACACAATATGGTTTTTGCACTTTTAGCAGAAATTTAGGAAGTTGGACAAAAAGGCTAAGAGAGCTTAATTACTTAAGTACATTACTCACCTTCAGAAATTGGCTCTCTTGTTACGTAAGGGACATCTGCAGCAAAAAGAAAAGAAGATAAATCATTATTAACAATGGAATTCCTATAAAAAACATATTGGTACATGGAAACGTTACATGCAAATGAACACTCTACCATACCACTCTTACTTCTTCACACATGATTTCCGTATCATCTCTGTAAATATAATGCTGTGGCAGGTCTTCCACTCAATTATCTATTGGTAATGTGCACCCATTTAGAGCATAAATCAGGAAAATAAAATATTGAAAAGAATTAGAAACAAACACTCCCAACACTAATCAAAGTCAACATGCTCTAAATCACTTAATGATACCATCTTTTGAAGGATATTATTCTGTGCTTTAACATTTGACCCTAACCTCTCAGATCCTCAAATGCTCCAGGTTTTTGAAGGGTTTCAGAAGATCAAGGAAGGCAGATCTGAGTAATATTTCTTCACATGGGACTTGACGTTCCCCCAATGTTCCGAGTGTATAAAACATCATGCTATTAAATTCTACACATTGGAGGAGTTTGAACGATTCAAGGAGGTTTCTTACAAAAAATGTCTGTGGGGTTGGGATCAGCGAACTCTCCATATTGATATAAGTTAACTGATATGAAACTAATTGAAAGAAATCTTACATTTGAGCCTCCTGCTTTGAGAAGAAAAACTGTAATTCTTTGGTTTCAATCTCACAAGGTTTTACTCCAAAAGACAAGACAACATAGTGTTGATGTCATGCCTTAGGTTCAACTTGATTCTTTAACATTTTTTTTTCTCTTTCTACATAAACAACTTTTACAAATGGACAACACCAAGTCCCTTCTAAGGCTGTTTGATCTTCACACCCCCATAGTCCCGTCACACAGATTTGATTTATATTTACAGAATCTTCCCTACGCAATGTTTAAAAGCAAATTGACCATGTAGGAGAGGGGAAAAAGGCAAATACAAACATACATTTGATAAGAACGACCAGAGAAAATACTACACTGAGGCAGGCAACGGCCAAGATCAAAACATGGATCCTCCTCGGGCCAAGTCTCTGTCGATAGATTGCCACCGTCTCACATTTTATATCCTCCATTGCAGAGGGGGAGGGTTCAGCCAAGAATCTGATATTCTATCCTCAAATGGTAACTGCTGAGGAGTCTTGTGAAAGCCGGTTAACTTCCAAAGATATTTCAAACATGCCGGGTTTTCCATGGTAATGACTGTATAAATCCTGCACGTACTGAGTTACTATTCCGGGCTGATGAGGCTGAGTAAGCTTCCATGGCAAGTTCAGGATCAGCTATTGACACAATGGGGATAAAAGTTGACTGCTCAGAGTGCAAATCCAACTGGGGACTGTACCATTCATCTAAAAAGGGGTGCTCAAACTATTTGATATCTGTGCTATGAAGGACGGATTGTTTCAACCAATCTGTAAGGTCTTCTGACTGGGGAGGAATGCGTACTTCACACAAAAATAAAACAACTTTATTTTCAGAGGAAAACTAAACTTCTGTTGACCAGAAATTCTGACAACAGCAAGTATCAGGGACACTGTAGGAGGGGTAGAGTTATTGACATTGGATACCCACTTGTTCCATTTCATACTGAAAAATGGCAGATAGATTTTTCTAGAGGACAATATGCATCTGTGGCCAAGTTCCAAGTTCTATTGACAGCATCCAAGGTGGATTTCTTTTTGTAATCCCAGGGACTTGTAACTACGGCACAGTGGTAATCCTTGGCAACTTGGCATAAACCTTCAATACCTGCATTCTATAAACCATTTTTTCTTTATTTCCATTTTTGTGAAAGTTCAGTGGGTTGCTTTCTTTGTTATTTTAAGCTTGATCCTGGCTCCAGGCTGGTACTCTTGAGGTGTTGGAACCAATGGGATATTAGACAGAGGTATTGTTGGACACTGTTGGAAAGTGAAAAATGTGCAGTAGCAGATCAAAGTAACAAGCCTCAACTGGGACAGGCAGGTTCATGCTTAGTCTCACTGGCTAACTTCCTCAGCCCTCCCAGTCCGCCATCTCATGAAAGTGATTGACATTTTAAAAAGATGGAGGACTGTAAAGAAAAAAAGTGACAACTGTGTGTCTGTGAAAAGGCAATTGTCATTCCCACACATGAAATGCTAAAGCTCACTTTTGAAAGTCAGCCAAAAATGTCAAGGACTTTATTCTTGAGTTAGCCATATTGAAAATTAAAGGAAAGTTAACTTTTCATTTTTGAATTAAGGGCATCAGTGAAGAAATTGAATGAAATTTCCTGAAAAATTATTACCTGTCTACTCTGATGAATAAATTGAAATGTGTGTAAATGTGGCATTTTATGCAAGATTTAAAAATGAGAAAAAGAGGCTTGGAACCCACAAAAATCCTAACACAGTCTGGAAACCATCCCATTCAACAGTTAACAATTCAGTGCACAGATATAAGGGACAAGACCAAAAACGGCTTGCTCAGGTGTGAGCTCTATTGCTTGAGTGTGTGGGTAGGCATTCTCTGCATTCAGGGGACAAGTTCTTTTGTCAGGGAAATTTGAACCGAGTTGTGGGGACATTTCCGAGTCTCCACAACGTTTTCAGTCCCCACAAAATAGGTGAAATGTCGAGTGTGTGTCCCCACATCTATGATGCGGGAGCCTGTGCACATACGAGTACATGCATGAATCTCAACATGATCATTACCATTGTTGGAACATCTACATGTTAGTTTTGGTTTAAATGAGAGCCAATTATCAGTTTTTGTTCGCTGTAGAAGTTGCATATAAATAGAGAATGCTGGTACTGGGCGGATCCAGACCCAATCTTTTGGAAGACTGTTTATAGGGGGCCAAAAATTTTGGACTTTTTTTAATGCAACTTTTTATGGCTTCTCCGAGGGCTGAGGCTTTTGGTGGTTTTACATTCTGTTGGAAGAGTAATTAGGAGACAGAGGAGAAAATTGTTTTAAAAAAAGTTATTTCTCTTATTCAGGGGAGCATGCCCTCCACTCCTCCTTTCCCCACAGCTAATTCTGTATGGCCAGCAAATGAAATCACAAACAAGGAGAAAGGAAGCATCGTTTGTTACATTTGTGAAGTTTTTCTCATTCCCTGTACAGTCCTGGCCTACAAGGGCACAAACTGAACATTCCACCCAACAAAACCTAGAGGGCGCACTTCAGTTTAACTGTCACTGCATTCCTATGAGCATACATTCTACTCTGCCTAAAATAATTAATTGTGCATACATGTGCATATAGAGGGCGCTATTTCACAATACCAGAAACTGCCAAGCGAGGCATTCCATTCACAAAAATGGATGTACAGTGTATTTTTGGTTTGCTTCACAAATACCTTTGAAGGCACATAGTCTCAATTTCATTCGTCATTTCAAACTTCTCCATTTTTTCTCTTTCTACAAAATATGTTCCCTCTGAAAAGTTGTGTTGAAATAAAAGGTTTTACAAATTCTGCTTAAATTACCATTAATTTGATAATTTTGTCTCCTCAACAAAATGTAAAGACATGACAATTTACTTTGATGTCTCCACTGTATTGTAGCAGGGACAATAAGATGAACTAGTTTCCATTCCCTCAACCGGAAAAAGAAATTTGCTATTTCAACAAAATGAAAACCTTTCTTATTTGCCAAGACTATGGCATTTGGCTCCTGACATACGAGATGCCCACCCACAAGCATAGTGTTGAGAGCATAGCACCATTAACCCCCTAGGAATGTTTTATTTTTGGAGTTAATCCTTAAACCACATACAGCTTAAAAATCAGTTTTCATTGACCTACTAACTTAAAGGGACATGCACGAGTCAGAGTGAACTCTCAAGGGATGTTCAAGGAGGGGATTTGTTTTCTCTTTAATAACACGTCCATAAAACTCAATTAAAAATCTGTTTTTAAGTCTGTACTATTTCAACCTCTTCGAATAAAAAGACCATATTTTTATATCAAATGTGATACACAAATCAGCTTGTTCTGGTTCCTGTTGTTTTTTCAAAAGAGAAAACGGCAACAGTGAAACTAAAGTAATGACAGCCGAAATTGGATCGATAACCAAAGTGAAAATAGAACAGATAAACTACACATAAAGCACAAAGACACCAAATACATGAATTTGTAGTCAAGTACACATGCATGTACCTTGCCAAGTTGAAGTTCCCCTCTTATATAACTAAGGGCAGGGTTTCCCCTGCCTATTCAAGTATGAAATGGCCCACCTCACTGATTTTAGTGACCACCTCAGGCTTTTTTGTTGAATTTTACGTCACAGTTAGACAAAGACGGAAGGAAAAAGTACACGAACTTAGACATTTTGATATTGATACCGTTCTTAAATCATTAAGAACGGTAAAAATGGACAGAGAATACAAGATCTATTTATTTTAAAGGGGAACTTTGGAGTAACTGTACTATTAGACAATTTATTTGACGCCTTTTTGAAAATACTCGCCTTTGTGTTAGGCCCTCGAAAAATTTGTTTGATCACCTCACACCTATCATTATCAGTACCCAGGGGAACCCTCCATGCCCTGACTAAGGGCCACCTCATTTCTGAAAAAAAGTGGACTTGTAACTTTGGTCACTGATGTAGGATTGCCTTCAACAGACTACAATAAATGAAGTGGCCTGCAGACATGTAAGCCCACAAATGTGTATGAATACACACCAATTCATGGAGAGCCATTTGTACACTACAACACAAGTCAAACATCACTAGGTCAGACCTTTAAGCTTGGATGCACATTTCAAATAGACTTCAGTTGTACAACATTTACACTCTGCAACCCCTTGTTAATGACAACATTCAACATACCAAAGCACCATTAGTACAGCTCAGCAGAGGTATGAGACTACATACCTATAGGATTGGATGACGCACACCATGTCAATATTGGCTCTAGTACTTGGACTCCAGAAACTGCATTCTGACACTACTTGTTTTTTGTGACCAGACCAAAGATGAGAATGTCATACACTGAGGCAGGACTGATCCTGCTTGTTTTTGGCATGCTTAAGGTTTGGTGCTTC